TCTCTCTCTCTCTCTCTCTGTGTGTGTGTGTGTGTGTGTGTGTTCTTTCCATCTACTTTATGGGTTTCAAGGATCAAAGTCAGGTTACCAGGCTTGGCAGCAAGTGCCTCTTCCTGCTAAGCCATCTTACCAAGCCCTGGTTTTACTTTTAATTCTCTTGCCTCAGCTTCCCTAGTGCTGGGATTACAGGTGTGGGCTACCATACCCGACCAAAGTAAGTCATTAGCTTTAAAAAAACAAAAAACAGAAAACAAAACAAAACAAAAAAACACCAGGTAATGTTATAAGAATTCCACTCACAGCCCTACATTCTGGGGAACAGTGATAGACCTGCAATGTGGGTTAGTTTTCTGATCAGCTTGTGTAGCTGAGTGTCAGAACAGTGGCCAGGAAGACCACCCAAAACTGTGCTTCAACCAAGACATGGTCATGGTGTCTCTTCACAGCAATAAAACCCCAACCAAGACACCTCCCCACTCCTCTGTATTTCTGCCCTAGGGCTTCCATCTTTAGTCCCAGAATCCCCGGCTGCACACAGGGTATTTCTTCTCAAAGCCTATGGTAGCCTCAAACCCCAAGAACAGAGCAAAGAACCTCGGTCTGTAGAAAGATGGTCCTTGGCCAATAAGTGAGTCCCAGGCACTTCAGACTCTACTGTTCTGTCCTTAGTTGGGTGATTTGTTTTTGTTTTTTAGAGTCATGGTCTCATCATGTAGCTAGGGTGACTTGGGATTCTCCTGCCTCAGTCTCCCAAGTTCAGATAACAGTCAGGTGCCCAAGCCCAGCCCATTATACACCAAGAGGGGTGGGGGTGGAGAGTAGGGGGTATAGGCAGGAAGGAGGCTCCCATGGGGCTGAGGTAAGGAAGGAAGGTGACCTGCCATCTCTGGCCCACTTTTCTCTGTGACACTTGGGCACCATCATGGAATTCTCAAAGTGATCTTGTTTTTCTTTGACTAGAGACCACCTGGGAACGGCCCAGCAGTTCTCCTGGGATTTCAGCCAGCCCTGGCCCTCACAGGAGCTCTCTGCCTCCAACAGGTAAGATTCAATTGGCAGCTTGGGGTTACTGGGAGGGCTACATACCCACTTTCACAATGAAGCTGAAGCTCTGGGTCCTGTTGTGGAATCTTGTGGCCTGGACATGGAGACGGTCCACCCAGATCCCTGAAGCCTGCTTCCCAAAATGGTGGCATATCCAGACAGGACCAACTGTAGCTCTGGGTTCTTTACTACTGAAGTGCATAGGATGGTTGACTGGGTGAGGTCAGAGGTCAGAGGTCAGAGATCTTTCCAGGTACAGAACAGAACAGCTCCACATGGCTGTCATCATCATTGAGAATTGGAAGCTAAAAGAAGATGGAGTTTTATGGGGGAATTCTTGAGCAGAATGCTCTGGAAAGGAAGTGGGATTGTTGTGAGGATGTGAGTTATCTGCAAAGGTAGCTGGGTAGCTGAGTGGTGGCATTTGAGTTATACACTCCATATAGGTATGAGGATTGTCCAGAAACATCTTAGGTGACAGCTGTTTCTTAAATTTGAGGACTCAGGTTTCAGAGCTTGCCAACGGGGAGAGTAACTTTTGATTTCTTCTGGGTTTCCCTCCTCCAGGCAGCCTCCCCTGACTACTCTGTTTGGAGCCCTCAACCTCTCAGTCTGCATCACAGTGTATGCCCTTACTGCATACAAAGTTCTTCTCCTGGTTGAGGTTGTCATTCAATGATGTACTCAGGGGAGGGGCTGGGTGTCTCTAAGCCTCCACACAGAGCCTGGCTTCACTGTTACATGAATTCACAAGTCATCAGTTGGCTACACACAGAAACTACTACACATACAGGCTTATCAGTGCCCTATGCTGTCACCCATGGGTGCTGTCCTCCAGGTAAAGCTGGCTTAGACCTCTGTGGAGACTCTCACTTGACATCCTAGAAGCATATCTATAGCATTCTGCAGCCTAGCATCAAGTGTGCGGGGCCTCTAAAGAGTTAAGGATGGTGGGGACATAGGTAAGAGTGTCAGAAGGGACCTGGGCAATGGCTGCACACACCTCAGCGACCTAGAATAGCATTTCCCAAGTGTAAGGCCATAGAGTCCTGCATAACCAGCACTCTGGCAAAGGGACTCAGTGGCCAGGCTCTCTTTGGAGGTTTGGTGGACACACCCTGTTCTGGAAGAGACCCAGATGTATCAACACATTTTATAGGGACCCCCACTGTGTTCATCCATTCCCAGCCCTTCCTGTACTTCTCAGCCTGTCTGATCTCAGCTCCAAGAGGCTTTGCCTTCCAGGGGGCATTAGGCCGTGTCTTGAGACTACCACAGGGGGAAGGACCCACAGGCATTCTCTAGGAAGAGTCCAGAGGTCTTGCTAAATGTCCCACAGGGCACAGGAGAGGCCCACAACAAAGACTCCGGGCTTACACCAGTGGGAGTCAAGGAACTGTTCTGGGGGACAGGAATTCCATTTAACACGGCCCACGGCAGTGAGTGACCTTGGTCTTTCAGGAGTCCCTGGGCCATGACCTGTGAGAACAGGGAAGATTATCAGGCAGGGAGAATCTGTCTTGGATTCTAGGACCCACTCTTTGGTTTCACACCCATTTTAATGTGGGGCCACACCAGCTGTATTGTTTACAGAAGAGTCTATGCCAACTGGCGGGGGGGGGGTAACTAAGCCCCCCCTCATACCTTAGTGGTATTTAAAATAGAAGTATGCCTACTGTAAGTGGCAGTCTTAATTTGTGAGATTTTAACTTGTTTCTCGGGGTGTCAGCCATGTTGCTTCTCCCACCATGTCTCTTTTGCACCATTCATATATTAGGAGCCCAGAGGGCGATCATGGCAGAAGGCCTGCCTGACCTAGATTCATGACTTTGATACTGATCACTATGGAGCAGAAAGATACGTCAGTGGTCCAGCTTCTATGGCCCCTTCCTCCTGTCACCTTCCTTACATCTGCTCTCTGCCTTCCACCTAACTGGCCGCCCTTGTTCTAATCTCATTCTGTTGCTGTGATAAAAGCTCTTATCAAAAATAATGGAAGGGAGGAAAAGGTATATTTCAGCTTTGGGTCACAGTCCATCACCGAGGGAAGTCAGTGCAGGAGCGCAAACAAGAATTTGAAACAGAAACCTTGGAGGAACACTGTGGGCTGGCTTGCTCACTGGCTCAGGATTAGCTAGCTTTCTTACACAGCCCTGAACCACCTGCCATGGGGACGGGGCCTCCCACAGTGGGCTGGGCTCTCCTGCATCAATCAGTAATCAAGATAACCCCCCCACACACAAGCATGCTTACACTCCAATATGCTCTAGGCAATTCCTCAACTGAGGTTTTCTTCTCACACGACTCTAGGCTGTGTCAAAGTGGCAATTAAAGCTAACTAGGGCAGTTCCCGTTCCCTCTGTCATCATCCTTCTTCTATCCATCTCCCACCCTCTCTTCCATCTCCCATCTTCTCTTCCCTCCTTCTCATCAGCCTCTTTCCACCTCTCCTATCATCTCCCCTCCATTATCCAAGCACTGTCCTTTCACCCACTCCCATCCATTCTCTACCGCCCTACCCCACCCTCTAACCTCAATCCTCCAAGCTCCATCTTCCTGCTGTCTTCATCTGCTTTCCTCCCCATCCTCAATTACCATCAGATAGATAGCAGAGACTGGTGTATGCTGTTCTCGTCTTTCCTTATATTTGAATCCAAGTCTCTTAAGTAAAAAAATGAAGTAGTGGCCACTCTTATTTTTCTGTAGGGAATCACAAGTTTTTGGTTTGCTTGTTGTTGTTTTTTGTTTTATTTTCCTAGTTCTTTTTCCTATTTAGTTTAACAGAGATTGGATTTTATGAGTGTGTGTGTGTGTGTGTGTGTGTGTGTGTGTGTGTGTGTGTGTGTGTGTGACAATGTGTGTGCTATAACGTCAGAGGTCAGAAGACAACTTGGGGGGTTGGGTCTCTCCTTCCACTATGACATCCAGGGATCATAATTACATTGTCAGGCTCGTCCAACAAGTGCATTTAACCACTGGGCCATCCTTTGGCCCCTGTCAGCCTCCTTTGTCAGTAAATATGCCACTGTTTCCCATTCCCAGGGAAGAGATATCCTAAAGGACTGGGACAAGAGAGCACAAAGGAAATAGGCCAGGTGATCCCTCTACGCACTAACAAGGAGTGAAAGTGGGGCAATGTGACAGTGACTGGGAAATCAGAAGACCTTAGCGAAGAAGTGACATTTAGGACAAGATTTAGGATATGGTAGGGTTGGGGAGGAGGGGGAGAGTCAGTGA